GACTACAGGCAATTCCAAACTCCCCAATATAACGCCTTTCTGTTAATCTACTTGACTAAGGCTGAGAACCCAAGAAAATATGCTTATGAGCCAGGTTGGTCCTTGATTACTGAGTGGTACAGTTACAGTTTTGGAGTTTCACCAGGTTCCGGAAAATAAAACATAGTGGTTCAGTATCAAAGAACCGGGATAAATATAAGGATATAAAGTCAAGTTGGATAGACTATAATGGGTTATTCTGGTTATGGTGTTTATGAGTGTACTTTAGACTCCATAGAATCGGAGTTGCAACTTCACATCTGCACAATAACTGATGCTAAACAGCACAAGAGCCCTTATTCAGAGGCTACAATCGTGAAGCATGATAACGATAACAATATTATCATGGGTTACAATAGAAAACATCCCAGAATTGTGTGTCAGTAGTGTATAAATCCCTTTTGGCAAAAAGAAACTAGTGTATAAATTCCTTTTTTCTTGTTCAGGTGTGGGATGTTGCAGTGCCATATCAGGGTACATATAGCAATAAAAGAAACGTGAAAAGCTTATGAAAAATATGGTAAAATTACAAAATAAAGGGCATTCAAAGTTTCTCTTGCTAGAATCTTCCACCATTGGTTTATATTTCCTTAACTATTGGCACTCTCGTTGCTGCATTTGCTCTAGGTTCAACTGCTTCTTCTATTTGATTTCCATACCTTTCTTGCAGCTTCCCCCTGTGAAAGGATAAAAGAAAAAGTAAGATTAACAATTTTATGCGATATGAAATCATGAGTTTGTAGCATATTAATCTCACATTTGCAACATAACCATGTCTTTTCTTGCGACTGGATCCTCTTCATATACTTCAATCTGAAAGGGGTTGAAAAAAGGGATCATGTCAGATAATTTTGCTCGTTCATGGAATTTTACAAATTTGGGGATTTGGGATTTTTGTATCATACAAATTTCCATCCCAGTAGATTCTCGCATTTGTTACAGTAGACATCTGCGACTGTGTGAGGACCAAGTTGCCTCAGCTTCTCTAATTCGTTTACATGCACATTCACCCTGCGTATTTCATCGTGCAGTTTAGTTCGACCTGTGTAGACAACTTTCATTAAACTATCCCAAGATATTAGAACCAAGAAAACTTACACTTCATCAAATACACCTCCAGTCACCCCTGTCGCAGGCTGAAAAACACGGCATAGTTAGATAATTGAAATGGAAACTGTCATCATTGCACCAGTTACCTATGGAGTCTACTCAGCAAGTATAGAGAACTTGTAAACGTTTTCTTCTATAAATAAATATAGTAGGCATTACAAGATGGTACTTCTACTTCCTAACTACTAATTGCTACAAACAAGATTACAAAATGAGTTTGACTCAAGAATGACAATTACTTAGAAATAGGAGAAAAAGGAAAGGGGAAAAGATTACCGAGTAGTTGAGACTGAAATCTTTGCAAAGAGCAAGGTGGTTTTGGCAGTAACGGCACAGGTAGAAACGATCAGACACATTGAACTCGAGGAGAAAGGAATTCCCCATAGCTGAAAACTTCCTGTTGAAAGAACAAAACTGAAGCAGAGATGGGTGATGCAAGTTGTGAGTTATGAAGAGGTTTAATAGAACGTGGAAAAAGGAGTTATGATATATGGACTCTCTGTTGAAAATGAAAGATGAACAGGTTTAAGAGAAGGGGAAAAAAGAGTTATTATCAACTGATTCTTGTTGAAAATGAAAAGAGGAATCAATGTTCAGGAACGGCAAATAAAATATTGATGAAAAGAGAACTATATATAGCATCTTCTTGAAGAAAATAAGGGAAATTTCTAGTATTAGAAATTAGACGAGATTTAAGAGTTTTTCGACTTTGACTATATGTATCAATCATTGACAAATGCCATTGGAACATAAAAGTTGCCAGTTCAATTCAACTTTCAGAGTTTTTTGGGTGAATTAATGTGCAAGATTTGACATACAGGCATAAAAATTTGCAATACAGTAAATTGAGACAGAACCATTAAAGGATTGTATTTTAAATCTGAACTACACATAATGGATGATCCAAAAGTTCACCAACAAAAACGAAAGAAAATGGTAAAATAGTATCTAATACAAATAAACCCTAATTCTAAACAACCATAGAAATTCAATATCAGGATGGACCCAAAAACTATTCTAACTCATCAGAACTTCAAGAGCTAGTGAACTTGGTAACAGCCTTGGTACCCTCAGAAACAGCATGCTTAGCCAGTTCACCAGGAAGCACAAGTCTCACAGCAGTCTGGATCTCGCGAGAAGTAATAGTTGGCTTCTTGTTGTAACGGGCCAATCTAGAAGATTCCTGAGCCAGCTTCTCAAAAATGTCATTGATGAAGCTGTTCATGATCCCCATAGCCTTGCTGGAAATCCCAATATCAGGATGCACCTGTTTTAGCACCTTAAAGATGTAGATCTTGTAGGTCTCAACGCTCTTCTTGGCCTTCTTCTTCTTCTTCTCGCCGGAAGCGGCGTCCTTTGGTAGCTTCTTCCCGGCCTTTGGCTTCTTCTCCGCCGGAGCTTTCTCGGCGACGGTGGACTTCTTCTCCTCCGCCGGCTTCTTTTCAGCTGGCTTCTTCTCTGCCTTTGGTGCCATTGGAATTGAAAGAGAAAATATGAAGGGAGAAATAGAAAGCGGCTATTCAATAGTGAATTGATAATTTAATTTGGGGTTTGTTGTGCACTCTATATATAGAGGCAGAGATGAAATCTTATTGGTTAGTCGGGGAGGTGCGCGGATTGATGAGCTGGCATGATATGGAGCGTTGGATATTTATGTTCTCATGTGAGGATAAATATGCTCACTTTCAACTTTGCGCCTTTTTTATTGTAAAGAGTAAAGAGAGTAAGGAGAATTTGGGAAATTTACAGTTCTCGCGCCCTTTCAGGTTGGCGGTTCTCTAAGATTCATGAAATTTTGGCGGATTTTGCAAAAATTAAATGGAATTGTTACATAAATAGTCGATTGAATATATTATTTGCTAAATAGTTAAAATATAGATAGACTGATATATATAGGAATTATTTAATGAACGATTATTTGATTAACTCCAAAAGGGAAAAATGGAAGGAGCCCAATATGGAATTGCTCAGGATAACAAATTTTGAATGCAGAAGAGAAAATTTACGCTCTCAGCCATCAAATGATTAATGTTTGTCTATATTTAAGGTGTATTGGAAGTGTATATATTTGGTATATCTACAATACTATATTATATAACAATCAATTATATAGTGTATACATACATTACAGTTATACACTTGAGCAATGCACTCAGGTCCAAAATGCCCCATAAACCTTTTTTGAGGACGTTTCTTTGAGATCGGTACAATCAAATAGTATTTTGATTTGAACTTCGTTTTTGTAAGTTCCTTCCTTGGGTTCATCTTTTTTCTTATTGGATGGAGAGACACCCTTATAATTTCAAACGTAATTAAGTTAAAGAAATTTCAGTTTTAATTTGTGATCACACTCTGTCGAATAACTAATTGACAATGACATTTTAGTTTGTTTAGTGGGATCTAAGGGAATATAATCTTTGTAATAGTACAGGTCTATGGTTAGAGATCCCGATGAGATATCAAAACACTTGATAGTTTTGGACAAATTAATGTGAAAATGGGGCTCCTGCAATTTAATTTCTGTGATGAAAGCAAACATAGTCTTCAGCAATACAAATCGATCTAGCTACTCCACTCCATACCACCATAGTATATATATACATCAAATAAGGTAGATAGATATAATGTTGAGAAGTTAAAAGTATACTTAAAGCTACATCAAGATCGAAACCAACGAAACAATTGAAAACTTCTCAGTCATGAATAGTACTGTTGAATTACATTACATTCCCATAAATTGGAGACACCATAATGTTCCCATTAATTGCAGCTAAATTTGGATACACCAAAATTGTAAAGCAGAGAAAAACAAGTATGTTTCAGAATCTTGATATATAACTGGTACCTATATATCTTATAACTGCATAATAATATGCATTGCCAAAGGGTTTAGTAGTTGCCCAAGAAAAGATACTTGATCATGCGTCATCACGAAGAACCATCATCATCATCACCATCACCATCATCGTCATCTTTTTGATTTTCCATTGTTGTGGGAACTGGGAAAGGAGGAAAAAATGAAGGAGAAAGAGTGGGAGGAGGGGGGAATTTTAAAGAAAAGAGAAGGAAATTAGTTCAGAGCCTAATTTTTTATTAAACTTTTAAAAAAAAAGTGAATTGCTACTTAGTGGAGAGAGGATCTTCTAAGCATATGCTTCCACCTTTTCTACTTTTTCTTTTTCATATTCAAAACAAATCAATATTTGTTTCCTAATGACCAATTAATTAAGACAAATCCCTCTTCTAGTCATAATTTGGCTTCCATATGTACTCTTTATGCTCCATGAATATTCCCTTTTAATTTATTTGTAGTTAAAATGTCTACTCGAGTAGTCAATTCATCACTTTAGACAATTAGTAATACTTACTGGTTTTCCATGAAGAGTGAAAAGCCATGTCTTACTTTAGTTGGCATGAGGTGTTGTTAATTAGGACAACGCATTGTCTCACACTTATTATTCACAAATTTTCTCATACATATTGTAGTGGAGGATGAGGATGCCTCTATTTGTTTTCTCCTTTGTTTTCTTGTCGTATTAATAAGCAATGCACCAATGATGCTCATCATGTTTTTCACTTTTGGCAGAATACGTCAAAATCAATTCAATCCTAAAGTGTGGATTCTCTCAACTATATGTATCCATGGTTGTGGGTGTCAAAAGCTGTCTCTTGTTTTTAAGAATGAAATTCTATAATGGAAACAGGAAATCATATAAGGAAACACTCACCCTTATACATAGACGTAGAGAGACTGTTTCTGACAAACCCTTAGCTCAAAATGGGGCTGAAGAGAACTTCAAATTCTGTAGATGCAATCAACAAAGGAGAAAATAGTACATCGATGCTGCCATAACATATTTGTTCATAAACGTTTGCACTGTCAAATTATAATTGCCGAAGCATATGAACATATTTTACATCACATTGGCTGACTAAAATAAGTTGTTTGTTTCTATTTTACAAAGGCAGAGAATATTCTTAATATTATCATTGATCCACCAACATTGAACTTACAGGTTCAATTCTTCCTTCCCATATATTCGCTGGAGTTCTCGAGTTGCAGCTTGAAATGATTCTGATCATGAGAATTAGTTCAATATGAATCATATGTATCAAACTGTAGATTAAAGAGGGAGAGAGAGAGAGAGAGAGAGAGAGAGAGAGATCCAATAAGGACTAATTGGGGATATAATTACCTTTCCAAATCTGGAAAGCTTTTTGATTGATGGGGGAACCAGTCACAGTTTGAATTGCTTCGAACAACAAACTTTGTGGCGTGCTCCTTAGCTCCTGGGTTATCTGGTAGATGGTTTTCCCATTCTCAAAGTATATGTGATTGTTAGGGTGCTTTGTCTTGCAACCAGCATGACGCTCAAACTCATAGGCATTAAGCACCTTCAAATGTGTATACAATTGCAAAGTTACCACACAGGAAAAATATATAATTATAAAACGAATGAAAAAGCAAAGTGAATAACTTGCCTTTGAATAGCTACATGGTTGACAACCACATAGGTATCCAGAACCTTTTATAATACCACGAAGCTCCTTATAACACACAGGAAGATAGCAGGTAAGGTGCTGACAGCAAAATTTATGAAATTTAAATAGAATAAAATGTACCTGCCGGGACAAGACGTATTTTACAGGTACACCGTCAAGAATTCTTGTTGCTAACAAACTTCTAACATTCGAAGGAAAGCTATTAGGAGCACCTTTATGTGCAGATTTAGACTCCGATTTGGTTTTTGGCAAGGAATCAGTCCTAGGTTTTGATGTCTGAGAGGAGATATCAACTGCGTTAGCATTTGATCCATCCATCTGCTTGTCACAATGTGGTTCTGATGCGTCCACTGACGATTGATAATGTAAATAATTATAACCGCTAATTGGCCTTGCCAGAGCATCAATATCAGACACCAATTCATATCCAAATATTGTGTCGGAATCCCCTCTGGTATATGAGTCAGCAATTGGTGTAGTGCTGTGACTTTTCTCAACATTGGATCTGATGGATCTACTTATATCTCCAGGATTGTAGGTTTGACTTTCATCTTCCTTCCCATATGCCTGACCCATGGATAGAAAGGATGTTTCACTTGCCCTATTATGTACCTGACTGATAGACATATTAATGTTGTTTTCAATCGGTGAATGAAAAGCATTTTCTGAATCCTCCACCTGATTAACATTAAGATTTCTGATTCTACTGTCGCTTATGCATATCTGTTGTTCTTCAATAGTGTAAGACATTGACAAACCAACTAATGGATCATCTCCAATTTGGTCGTCGATCACTTTTTTCCTTATTGTGGAGTTCCCTGTGCTTCTCTCGGTCAAGTCGACCGGCCTGGTGGTATCAATTCGAAACAATCTATCAATGAATTGATTTGCCCCTGACGGAAGATCAGAAGTAGTCTCCCAACATGTAGAATTTGTCACTGCAATTTCTGAAGTTGATTTGCCTAGTGAAGTGTGGACAGCTTGTTTCTTGTTAGGATATAACTCTGGCTCAGTAGTACTGGAGAACAATTGGTGAGCATGTTTCACGTCGAGTCTTGATGAGCTATCAAAAACTGCTTCTCCATCAGATAGATGTCCACCACATTTTGGTATCCAAAAATCCTTGTCATGGAAAGACTGGAAAAGATCTGATATGAATGAACTAGACAAAGTCGATTCATCACAGTATAAATCTCTGACCAGAAACAGGAATGATGGGCAGGGTTTGCGTATTACAATGAAGCAGCTGAAAAATGAAATTAAATGAGTGCAGCAGGGGGTGGGGTGGGGTGGGGAACAGCATGATGGTCTGAAAGAATCTCTTAGCAATACCAACATTCGATGCACATACCAAGTATGGACACATCAGATGGAACATTTCACCCAGATCACTTTTTTTTTTCATTCTTTTGTTTTTCCTGAATTGAGACAGGGATTGTTACTGATCCCTACTGACATTTGAGCTTTAAGAAATGGACTAGAGCTGTGCAGAAAATGGCAAACTACACATTTCACCACTGAGTACAAGAATAATGCAAAACCAAAAACGCATTATCTTCAGGGTAAACTAATCCAGATCATTGAGGCAGAATTTGGATTGGGTAAGCTAATCACACTCATTGAGACAGAATTTGGATTGAGTATGCTAATCCCACTCATTGAGAAAGAAATTGGATCGATCCACTGATTGGACATCTGAAATATCAAAGAAAATTAATACTCCTATCTCAAAAGGATGACAATCTTATATCGAAAGTCAAAACATTTTCCTTAAGAGTACTATCTTCTTTGTAAATATGTAAGCTTTACTCCCTCCGTTTCAATTTGTTTGACTAGTTAGCTTGACATGGAGTTTAAGAAAGTAAATAAAACTTTTGAATCTAGTGATATTAAACTAAAGATACGTAGAATGTACCAAAATGCCCTTTAATCTTGTGGTATGAAATGTGAAAATTTTGAATTGAAGAGTTGCCAAAAAAGATAAGGACAATCTTTTTGTAAGAGTTAAGAAATTGATATGAATTTATACTGAAAATCAGGACTGTTAACCCTTGCACCACGAAACCACCATTCATTTTTGTCACAGAGTGTATAATTTTCTTTGAGTAAAGTACCACGAAAGTCACAGACTGTATAATTTTGCAAATTATAAGTTTCACATCTAAATATCCGTCGAGCTGCCAAATGGAAGCTTAAAGACAAAAGAAAGGTCCAATTCAATACAACTAGCAATGGGAAACTAACAGCTATTTCTTTCTACGTAATTAAATATCACTAGAAATTCCCATAAAATAGCATAACTCAGAACAACAAAATCAAACAGAGCATCGAGTATGGAGCTCTTAATGAACACTAGAAACACTCACCATCTTGCAGCTCTTACTTCAACGAATCTGAAAGCCACAAATGCTCATAAAAAAATTACCTAAGTTCAAATTCAGCAAAAATATGCAAAAATCAACAACATCTCAAAAATCAACAAGCCCTAAAAAGTAATTACGAATTAGAAAAGAGACGATCGTACCTTTTTAGATGGAGAAGAAACTAGGAACGGCCAGGTAAACTTCCCGGCGGTATCATCGGCGGCGATTTTCTGGTTTTGAAGTAGATATTTTACTCTCTTTTTTTGGGGGGACGGGCAGAGTGGTTGTTATGGTGAGTGAGGAGCAGACGATCGGCTCCCTGCAGAGACCATAGAATTGTGAATGGACCTGCACTATCAGATTATACAGTTACCGCTTCTTTAACCGTACACGTGTGTTTATTCTGATTAATCTTAACCGTTCATGGCTTTTGGTCTCCTGATATTTTGGGCTTTCCGGGTCAATTGGTTATGATCCCATGGGATGGAGCCTACCACTATCTCGTAGGAAAAAATTTAATATGGTTGACGCCCAACCAACAATAGATGTACGAGGCTCTATTCAATTTTTGACACTTGAATTTATGGGCCTCATTTTAACACCACACACTCTCTCACTTTCATTTTTTCAAATTCCTCCATTTTCCTCATAATAAGTATTTTACCTCTCTCTTTTTTTAATAGTCTTAAATTTTTATTTTCCAAAAGTCAATTATGTAAATTAATATCAATTCAAGTTTTAGCCTTTTTCTCCCATGATTGTTAATATGATTAAAAAATTAAACTCCATTATAATTATAGTCTTCTTTTCTTGATTTATATATTTTTTTGGTTGATTTTTTTTTTTTTAACTTAAATTTCAATAATAAGTGCAACACCAAATACAAAAAAGTTCTAAAAAAAATTGAAGAACGAGTGATTTTAGAATTCTTATAGGTATGCTCTCACTTACTCATTGGTGAGCTTTTTTTTCGGTATAATTTTTTTTAAAAAAATTAGTTCTGATTGATGATAGTTGAATTAACTAATAATGAATAATTAAAGGACTAAAAACAAGTGATTTTGAACATAAAATCAATTTTTAAAATCATCATAATAAAATTACAAATCAAACTAGAAAGTGAAAAATAGAATTAAATTTATATAAAGGTAACTAGATTACAAATAAAAAGAGTAAAAATTAACTTTATACAACACACACACACTATATATATAAAGAGGGAGATATTTTTATAATCAGTTTGGTGGTTTTTCGATTTATTTTTTCTTTGAAATCAAAACTGATTATGTCAAATTTTTTAAAAAGAAAAAGAAAATAAATTGAAGTAAAAGAAATATTCAATTTGACTAAATTCTTATTTAGTTCGATTTTCGATACTCAGTGAATACTTCTTAATACAAATATAAAGTGTGTGTGAATTTCTCATGCAAAATTTATCTTTTAAATGTATCCTAGGAATTTGATTCAATTTTTTGAGATGTAAAATACAAATTTTAAAAGATTTTTTTTTCTAAGGCTACGAGGAATAATTATATTTTAGTTGAATTGGTTGAGAGGTGGCAATTTTTTAAATTGATTTAGCTGAGGGACATAAATGATTAATGGGAAAGAAAGAGCTAATCAAGTTACTAATAAAGAGCACAAAGAATTGAAAAAAAAAAGTGATAAATAGAGGAATATTGAACAAGGTACTAAAATATTTTGGAGGAAACAGAGGGGAATTTGAGAAAAAATAAGGTGTGAGAGTGTGTGGTGTTAAAATGGGGCCACAAATCCAAGTGTCAAAAATTGAATGGAGTCTCACACAACTATTATTGGTTGAGCCTCAACCATATTAAAAAATTTCATCTCGTAGTACTACTACTAGTTATGCAAGAGTTATAACGCAAATTTATTTATGCATGATTAATAATACAAGGGTTATTATTAAAATATTGCTATGAAATAAATAATAAAGGTAAAAGTTATTATTTGCGCTCATATTTTGAAAACTGAAGAGATTATGCTTAATTATAAAATGTAGCAGCATTTTGATTTTAAAATTAAACAAATATATTGTTTGATGATAATAAAGTGAAATACATTCTTCCGTGTAATACTTCATGTAGCAAAGCTTATTATATTTGCGTGCAAATAGTGATAATGAATACATAATATGAAGTACAAATTGAAGAAAAAGATGACTTTTGAGGCTTGAAGAATGAAGAATCACTTTTCTTAAAGAAACATTATACATGTTAGGAAAAAATGCAAGCAATTCCTTTCAAGATACAGTAAAACTTCTATAAATAAATTAATATAGGTGGGACCACGGAATTTTATTATTTTATAGAGATATTATTTAATTGATAAATTAATATTTATTAATTTAAATCATGGTTTGAAATTTAGTGAAGGTTAATTTTGAATATATCAAAATCATTGTATCTTACTAATTTATGTATCATATTTATTGATTTCACACAAAAATAATAATACATAAAGTACAACAAATACATCATCAAAATCATTGTATCTTACTAATTTCAACCTTGTGGATAATAAGAGCTTTCAAGATGTATTATCGAACAAATTTTATCGTAGGATATTAGAAGACTATGAAGTGGGACAAACTGATCCAACAAAGATCAATGTTTTTGGATGCTATCAATTTTGCAATCCCTGTTTGGCCATAAATGTTCAGCAAAAGACAATAGCAAACTATTTTTGACACTGTAAAATTCGTTCGGGGAATGCAATCTCAGATGATTTGAATGAACCTACTTGTGAAAACGTCATTCATGAACTTGAGGTCATTGATTAATGATCTTGGTTACCACAATAAAATGGATGTCAATAACTTGTTGGATTATCTGGGTGAAATGGATACATATTTAGAGATCCAGAGCTTAGAAGGAATTGTGGATAACATCGGAAAAGGCAATGTTGATGATGAAGTTGAAGATGATACTATACCTTTGGAACCAATTACACGTAAGGAAACACTTATCGCATTTAGAACTCTTCACAATTTTATGGTGCAGTTCGAAAAGATAACTTCGGAGCTCTTGGATGCAATAAGAAAAGTTAGAGATGAGCTTCAACTAGATTTAAATTATAAGAAAAAAACATAACACAATAGAATCATATTTCACTAAATTGTCTTAGATATATTTGTACTTTTAAAGAATTACTAATTTATGATATTAATGGGATCATCTATTTATATAGGGGTCTTTTGGAAATATATTATCTTATCGAAATTGATGATTTTTTTCATTGGCCCAAGTAGGGATCGAAGGAAAATATTATTTTAGAGAGATTATTAATTTATCGAGTATTAATTTATAGAGGTTTTACTATAAAACAAAACCCTTGTATATACCTAGATATTTATTCTTATGTTATTTCGAGAGAATCTTTATATTTATAGAACTTAAAGATAACTTTTCATAATAATCATGTTCTCTCATAAATAAATGTGATTTTTCATAATTATTATGATTTTTCATGAATATGACTTTTCCTAATAATTATATTCTCTCATGAATAAATATATCTATTTAATTTAAGACCTTTATATATTACAAAATATCAAACACATTGTACGTGTACTAAAAATCTCCACACTATACAATCTTTCTATCTAAATTTATCTACAAGAATAATAAGTTTATCCACGTGTATGTATCTACGATAGAACTTCAAACTATGGTGATTGTGTACTACATATTTCTTTAAAAAGTAGTATTTTGTACCAATTTATGTGACACATTTCGCTTTTCGAGAGTCAAATAGTTTTAAGTTTGACATTTGCTCATGAAATTTTCAATTTTTTACAAATGAAATTTATATATTTGTAAACTACATAAAAAGTATAATTCTGAATAATTGATAATTCAAAATATTTAAAAAATATATGAAAAAATTATGATCAAAGATAGACTTGTTTGAATTTCGAAATCGTAAATGTGTCACATAAATTGGGACAGAGGGAGTATCACTTTTTCGAATAAATATAGTAAAGACTGAATTTGCTATGCCATAGGAATAATTGTTTCGATCATCCAAAAAAGGAGTAAAATGATAACAGAATTTGTGATATATACACACAAGAAGAAATTAAAATGAAAGACATCTTTTAGCTCTAGCTAGTCCTAAGAGGATAACAATGGAGGTGTGTGAGGGAATCATCATTCTCATCAGGAGTTAAATTAAGATCCACGCAAAATATCCTCTTTCTACTATTAGATTTCTTCAAAACTGGTATCCTTCTCGCCGACGATGAATCTTTAATTTCATTTACAGGGGCACGGTGACGCCTCATATGTCCACCTAAAGCCTGCCCCATAGAAAACTCCATTCCACAAATTAAACATTCATGTACCTTGCGTTTTTTGGATAATTTTCCGTGAAGAAACTTTCCAATGTCGATCGTTGATTTCATGGATTTATGACTCGTTCGATGGCCGCCAAGCGCTTGGAAAGATGAGAACCGTCTTTTGCAGGTTTTGCATTCAAATGAATTACGACGATCTCGATCTCGATCTATGGATGATAAAAGCATTAAGCAGTTAGCTATTGCTTGTGGTTGTCTTCTCTGCTTTTTCTCACTGCCGTCAGTATGAAGAATTGGTTAATGTAGATACAAATAAGATGCTTCGTCTACTGAGTTTGAATAAAATGATGACTGATCTACTTGGGCTTACAATTGCTTCACATATTTTATAGTTACATTTTGCGCGTTCTATTGATAATCACAAACGCTAGTAGTGTGTAGAGATTTTCGGATTCAGTAATCTCTCCGCGTTTTCTAAAATCATCGAATATGAATGTGTTTTTCAGGTAATTTTCATGTAAGTTTAAAGCACAAGGAAGAGTCCATAAAGTGTGCTTCCACGAAGTTTCCAGAATGATTCTAGGTTTGACTTGATCAAATACATGGAACATAATAATTTTGTGCAAAAAAAAATAAAAAAATCTTATCTTGAATTGCAAAAAGAATAGAGAAGATATGAATCTATAATCTTAAAATATAAAAAGTTATATGACTTGACTATCAAAATCGTCTTTTAGTGTCTTTCTCCCTCTGGCTTGTTGAAAAATATGACTACTTTTTTTAGTTTGTTAATAAAGAGCGACTTTTTTCTATTTTTAGCAATATTTTAATTTTTAATTTTCTACTTGACATAATTATAGTCGTAAGATTACAAAATATTTTGATATATTTGACATAACTTTTATTTAGGGCTACAAGATTTAAAATTTTCATTATTTTCTTAAAGTTCATGCCAAGTCTCATGCAATTTAGGATATATTTTTTTAAACTGAGAAAGTATAATTTTTTTTAAAATTAACGGAGAAGACCTTATTGTAGTTTACTCGGGGAGGTGAAGGTGTAGTATCTTGGCACCCAAGTTAATAGGGAGTGGGGGCCATCAATCAGTTTGTATTGCAGTTGGTCTCTATCCGTCTCTTTAATATATAATTCATGTCCTTAATTACTTGTTCACTATTTATTTTTTAATTGTTCTTAATTATTTGTCTATTTTGACAAGATAATATTTTTACTTATTATATCTTCAATTAATTACTTTGGAAAATATAAAACTTTTTGAAAATCTTGAATTTTTATTTTATCCACTTCATAATTAATAGGGATAAAATGATAAAATTACTATGTCAATTATTGATTTCTTAATAGGTGTGTCAATTCAAAAGTGAACAAGTAATAAGGGACAAAGGAAAAGGGAGTAGTATACAAAGTACAATATTGCATATATATTCACCATCTTTTAATTTTCTATAAAAGACTAAATTATGTCTCTGTAAAACATCATGTCAACTTAACAAATCACAAAATACGATCATGAAATGAGGCAACAATAATGCTGAATATGCTGGTATTTATAGAGTAAAGTCTATTTGTATTGACTTATTTTAAGTAAGTTAAAATAGTTTTAAAATATTTTTATAGTATTTGGATAAATTTTAAAAGTGTTTTTAAGGACTTGGTTTAAAACTAAAACAAGTCATAAATTTGTAGAAAAAGCTAGAGCCCGTTTGAATTGGATTATTTTAAGTGTTTTTAAACTAAAATTATTTTAAAACATTTTTTTTAGTATTTGAATAAATTAAAAAGGTGTTTATGGACATTTGATTTTAAACTAAATTAAAATAATAAAAATAAGACAAAAATAAAGAATTAATGTTTCCTCATAATATTCTATAAACCCATCAAATCAAATCAAAGTATTTTTCAAGGTACCTAGGGTAGGGACTAGGGAATATCTTTTCCAACTTGATTTTATAATTACAAATTTCAAACCAAATTAGTTAAGTCTCACAAACTCCAAGTCAATTTTCACCTCTATAACTATATATGAATCAATACGTGACACGCTTATCCACTTATATACACTATTATAGAGTTTCCTTCATACTTAAGATTTTTGCTATTTAAGAAAAAATGACTCAACTGCTTACGTGCATGTGCATACAAACTAGCCACCTTATAAACCGTGTTCTTATGATGGGTTCGAAGCTTCATCTTTCACACACTATATAAAATCTTTTGGTGGCCAACTTAATTTCTTTAATTTTCCTACTAGATAAACAGTTAGTATATACAATATATCTCAGTCCTATTTACTTATCTAATATTAACTTAAGAAATTCATTACTTAATATTTTGTATATAATATACATTCAATGATTTGAAAAATAACATTGAAATTTTGTGAAATTCTGCGAGACGTGTTCAATTTGAGTTGGGACTCTACAAGAACTATAAATGACAAATTATCACTTGATTTTTCAAAACTGAACAAGTAATTCAAGTAACTATAGTAATCAACCGACAAGTAAAAGTGAGCAGAAGAGAGAGTAACATTTTTTGCTTTATCACAAAATCATTTTGAGTTGGTATTAATATTATTATTATTATTAATTAACAATTACCACAAGTTAAAAAAACTTGGTAATTAATATTGATGATTATCTAATAACCACCAGTAATATTGATTGTCCACCAGATTAATACTCCAATAACGTAACAATAAGAAGTACGGATCCGGAAGAGTTCCATGCCTTATCGCTGTACAAATAGGATTAAAAATAAGAATACAGAAGTAGCCACTATTACAGCTCAAAAGTTTTTTTAAAGAAAAGTAAAAAGAACAATTAAGCTTCCTTTGATTGTGAATTACATAGGCATTAATAATTGCTCAGTATTTTCCTTAAATAATTAATTAGCAAAAACCTAAAGAGACTTGTCATCTGCCAGAAAAAGGACTCGTTAATCAACAACTATTCATTCTATGATTCTAAAGAAATTTAAACTTGTGGATTTTTCCATTAATCTGAGTTCTGCACTCCGATCGCCATCAATATCACTTTAACTACTGTAAAAAAGAAAAGAGAAAGAAACAAAAATTTGTAATATCTACTTTTCTCTTATAATAATCCAAGAAATTTAAAATATCTACAACAACGAATGAACTACTGTAAACGGGATAATCCCCAACGTCAACTGATCATTCTCATACGGTGTCAAATTCAAATCTAAGCAAAATTTATTTTCACTCTCCGTCTCGATCTTTTCCTTCGTCTTCAAAAACTCAGTAGTATTTGTCTCCTTTGGTTTCTCCATTAATTTATCGCGATGCTTTCTCATATGTCCACCCAAAGCTTGTCCAAGTACAAATTCTTCACCGCAATAAGAGCATTCGTGTTTCTTCGTCTTAGATTTAATCGAATCTGAAGGTAATACCAGTTTTGGTTTCTTGTGACTTGCTCTGTGTCCGCCTAAAGCTTGGAACGATTCAAACTGCTTCTTACAAGTTTTGCACTCATAAAATCGACGTGATAGTGAACTATTCTTCTCTAAAATATTGACACAATTAGCCATGGCTAGTGTCTCCACTGTTACTATTTCTTCTTCTCTTCTCCTCTTTATTGTCATCATGCAGAATTTTCAGTCGTTTACTTGTATGTGGGTTTTATATAGTAGGAGCAGTGAGACACGTTTCTCGTTTCTTGTGCCCTAAGAAAATAAGATAGAGAAGGACTTTTTTAAATCGACACAATAGTTTAATATTTCTCCTGTTTCTTTTGCTTAGAAATTATTTATGGTGTTTCTCTTATATTAACCTAATTAATTTTATTACCGTATAAGTGAACTGGTGGTGTAAATATTTCTCCTATTTTTTTTTTTATATATATATATATATAGGAATTCTCATGTTTTGTTTTAATTTTCTTTCGTTTCAAAAATTATAAATTTACTTGTATAGTTAGACTGACCTTCTTTATTTTAGGAGATTAAAATGTTTGATATTGAAAAATAGGAATTAAACACTTATAGTTGAGTAGGATTTAATTTGTTTGAATTATATATGGAGTGTAAGTGTTTGATTTTAGAATAACTGCTACTCTAGGGGTATTTAGTATAATGTTACTAGGAATTAAATTCTATTTGAATTTTATTTTTGTAACACCCTAGAGAATTTTCGAACTAAGACTCGAGCCGTCCTTTATGTGGAGTGAGATTTTACCGAGGAATAAAATTTCTTGAGTGTTAAGTTAAGATCCCTAGATGTAGCACATTGAGTTCCAAGAAGAGTTGAATTGGAAATAGTCATTTTGGAAAGAATCTGGAAAATTTGGCTATGGAAAAAAAGTGAGTTTTTGGTCAACTTTGAGCAGTCGTAACTCCTAGCTCAGAATGATTTAGGCGAATTTCCAGTTATTTCTGGAAAGCCCTTGGAATGATCTTTCCAACGCCGCCGAGTTTGCTTGATTCTGAGTTCGTATGAGTGAGTTATGCCCTTTGGAAGTTGGGCTGTCGGCACAGTCGCACAGTCGCACAGTGCAGTTTGTTTAGTCCGAAAATTTTAAGGGTATTTTGGTCTTTTCCCTAATAATTTCTTTGGGTTATATTGAGGTGTTAGACTGATGTTTGGATCATTTTTGTCCCATTTTAAAGAGTGAGAGTAAGAGTGAGAGTTAGGGCTTGGAAGATAAGAGAGAAAGAAGAGGAAAAGAAGAGGAGAAAGAGAAGAAGAAGCTAAGGATCGTCGTGGATTTTCATCGGGGGTGATCCCTAATCAGGTATGTGAGTCTTTAGTGTGGGTTTATCCTTCCCCCCCACATACCAAGCTCGTTTTTATGATTTGAGAAGAGATTGGATTTGTTGTTGAAGTTGTTGAAGTTGTTAGTTGTTGTTGATGTTGTTAGTTGTGTTGTTGAAGTTATTGTTGGTTGTGGGACAGGATTGGGCTGTGTATTTGAGTTGTGATCTATTGTATGTTGAGAGATTGATGATCCTTAGTGTTGGTTGGTTCATACCCCCACACACCAACTCGTTTTCAATTCCAAGAGAAGATTTATTGGTTGTTGAAGTTGTAGTGGTGTTGTGTTGAAGTTCTTGCTGATTTAGTACAGATTTCTGGCTGTGATTTTTGAGTTGAATCTATTGTATAATAAGGGTCTTTATGATTCTAAGTGTTGCTGCTGAAACCTTGAGGTTGAGAGGGTTTAGAATTGGAAAGAAACAAGGGGAAAAAGAAGGATTTTTGGGGAAAAAGGGGCTGGGCTGTCGCACCTCTCCTAGTGCCAAGGACACCAATCCTTCCCTTTCATTTACCATTTTTTTCATACATGTTCCTAGGTATTATACCTATGTTTCCTAGTTGTTTCCAACACTCCAAGGTACTTCTAAAAGTCAAGAACTCATCCGTAACATGTGATCAATCCAAATTTCAAATTCAAGTGAAGTTAGTTTCCAATTCAAGTGAAGTTAGATTCCAATTCAAGTGAAGTTAGTTCTCAAAGTATTCCAATTCAAGTGAAGTTAGATTCCAATTCAAGTGAAGTTAGTTTCTAATTCAAGTGAAGTTAGATTCCAATTCAAGTGAAGTTAGTTTCCAATTCAAGTGAAGTTAGTTTCCAATTCAAGTGAAGTTAGATTCCAATTCAAGTGAAGTTAGTTTCCAATTCAAGTGAAGTTAGATTCCAATTCAAGTGAAGTTAGTTTCCAAGTCAAGTGAAGTTAGTTTCCAAGTCAAGTGAAGTTAGAAGTTAAGCTTAGAGAAGTTAAGTAAGTCAAAGCAAGTCTTCAAACTTTTCACGAGTCTTCATTGAACGTTTTAACTTCATTCTAAGGCTTAAGTTCCAAGTTAGTATAGAGTTCCAAGTTAAGTATAGAGTTTCAAGTCGAGTGAAAAGTATTGAGTTTCAAGTCAAGTCAAAAGTTAAGAGTTTCATGTTAAGTTAAGAATTTCACATCAAGCCAAGAGTTCAAGTAAAGTAAATAGTAAAGAGTTGAGTTCATTTTCTCAAAGTTATTAGGGAACTATGTATTCCCAAAGAAGTTTTAAAGAAATGTTTTTACATTTAAACAAGGTTGAAAACTGAGATTTCCAAAAGAGCCTTCGGGCTAGTTTTTGAGTAATTATCTCATATCAGCAGGAAAACATATGTTTTAAAAATATAAGAGCCAGTACATTTTTGGGAGTAGTATTGAGCACCGAATTGGGGGAGCGTTCAAAGAACCCACAGCCCCCATAGAACCATGTTAGCCACCATGGGTAGAAAATGATCATACTTTTTAGATGAATCTTTTCAGATTAGACTAGTGGATCAATTAGGCAGTTCAGGTCTTATACCTTTGGCCGGGTATAAGATGCTCTGGCAGCGTGAGGTCGATCGCTGTATCATCACTATAGCTCTTATGTGATGGTTGTCGGTTAGAGAAACTCCCACAACAGTTATTGTATTTTTATACACAGAAATTATTGTATTTTATATACATCAGTTCATTTGTATTTCTATATACATCTCAGGCTTATTGTATCCTTGTATACACACAGAGTTTATAGCATGTTTTAAACAGTCTTTCTTTATATCGCACTTGTTTTAAATTACCTTATATTGAAAGAAGTCAGTCAGGTTGAGTTCAGTTATTCAAGAGTCGAGTATCCTTGAGTTAAGTATCTTTGAGTTAAGTATATATCTTGAGTTGAGTATATATCTTTGAGTTGAGTATCTGTCTTTGAGTCCAGTATCTATCTTTTGAGTTGAGTAAGTTTGAGTAGTTTTGAGTATTCCTTGAGTTGAGAAAGTTTGAAAAAGAGGTAAGTTATTCAGTTTATTCCAGTGTTTCTTCTAGCCTATGTTGTTTAGATTTCCAGCTTACATACTCGTACATTCCACGTACTGAGCCATTTGGCCTGCATCTTTTTATGATGCAGACACAGGTATTCAAGATCATCAACAGGAGATTCGTTGATACATCCGGGAGTTCCAGTTAGCTATGACAAGCCTCTTTGCTTCCGGAGGATTTCATTTACCTTTCAGTTGTATCAGTTGTTAGGAGGTCGTGGGTCTTGTCCCGGCTTCCATCTTTATCAGTTAGAGGCTTCATAGATAGACAATAGAGTTTCAAAAGTCTCTTCATTTATTTTGTTAAATGTTTTGAAGACTAAAGTTTCCTTTTATGGCGAGTTGTATATATATTCTATTATCAGAGTTTTCTTTTGAGTTAAAGATTTGTAAAGTTGAGTTTATAAACTTTTTTTTTCAGTTTTAAGCTCTTGTATGCTTAAGTTAGTATTCCGCTTGGAGTCAGCCAGGATGAGGGTTCGCTTGGGGACCAGCAATGGTCTTCGAGTGCCGGCCACGTCTAGGGTGTAGTCTCGGGGCGTGACAAACTTGGTATCAGAGCACAGAGTTCAAGTGTCCTAGGGTGTCTATGAAGCCGTGTCAGTAAGATCTTGTTTATGGTTGTGAGGGCCCCACTTCTATAAATGAGGGACTACAGACATTTAAGAAAAGTCTCCCTTCTTTCACACTCTTAATCGTGCAATAGAGCTAAGTCATAGAGATCTATTCTAACTCGTGTGTTCTCAGAATCTTTCGACTACCCATTATACTAGAGGTGGTTGAAAATCAGAGTCAATTCTTTGTCGATGAGTTGTTCTTAGCAAGAGTCTTGAGAAAGTCATGAGAATTCTGAGGGGCTTAAGAGAAGCCCAAAAGTAAGTTAAGTGTTCAGTTTCGGAGTAATGCCTTCATGTGAATCGTGCATTTGAGATAAAAGTGAGTTGTACTTTCTTCTCTAAGTATTGTTTCAGCTGAGATCCTTACGAGGAGGTACGTTTAGAGCTTGGGTATGATTTTCACCTGAAAGAGTAGCATGAGTTACGAGATCATGAGCAGTAGTAGAGAAAGAGCCCAGAGTTAGAGAGAAAAATATACAGAAGTTTAGTAATTTAAGTAAGGGAGATAGTGATGAGGCAAGTTATGTTATTGTAGTCATGCACCCAGTAAGTTATGAATGAGGAGTTGTCCCTTATGGGTAGACTAAGAAGTGATGAGTTGTGAAGATTACATCATAAGAGGAAGAGTGTGTTGTAGCTAGAAATGAGTTAGTGATGAAGTGTTATTGTGTAGAAAATGACCAAGTGAGAGTGTTGAAAAAGAAAGTAGAGTATTCATGAGGTGTTAGATCTAAGCTAGGCTTATGATTTTGAGAGAGGTCCCATAACATTCAAAGTGGTATAGAATTATTGGGCATTGATGTATAGTGAATGAGTGAATGGTACTCAAGTTGTGAAGGGAAATGTGATAGTAAATTGTGAGTATGAATACTAAGAGGTGAGGTTTGACTATTGGCCATAAGGTCCTAGTGGACGAGAGTTTCTGAATTTGTACCTAGTATTTGTAAGTTAGTATAGTAAGCGAGCAATCATATTAATATTCGGGTTTAGTCATAAACCTTAAGCTTGAATTTGAGATGAGTGTCATGACCAAAGAAATGACAACATGAGAGTGATGATGCTAGTCTTGAGATTTGATCCAGTAGACTTGACATAGAGTAGGTGAGGAATTAAGGTGATTAGTTGCAATAAATATGAGTGGTACAAGTGAGAGACCCTAACCTTTAGATAAGGGCAATGAAGT